AACCTTTTAGAGTTGGTATGTAAGGGAAAATATTTGTCTAACATCGTTTCATTATTATTTACTATTTGCTAATTTTCGAAATTTTTTTTCAAAAAAATGAAAACGAAATTAATATTTCAGTGCACAGGTCATTCATTGGGTGCATCAATGTCATCAATGACTGCATTATATCTTATAAAAAAGAAAATATTTCCGGCTAAATTAGTCCGTCTTATAACATTCGGCGAACCAAGGACGGGTAATGTGGCATTTGCTCAAGCTGTTGAGGAAAATGTCAAATTTCGTTATAGGGTAATTCATCGAGGTGATCCAGTAAGTTCATTTAGTTATTCATGACAAATGTTATCGTATCCACATGGATGATTTATCACCCTGTGACATATATAATTAATCTATTTATTAATTTATTTATTTACATATATTTATGTACATATAATAGTATTTGCTCTACAATTCTTTTTAGCAGCTTTAACAAAATGAATCACAACCTTTTTTCCACTTAAAGATTAAAAATTTGAAATTTTTTTATTTTTTTATTCTTTTTTCTCAATTTTTAATGTTTTATTTAATTTTGCTTTTTTTTTTACTTTTCCTAGATGACGAATATGCCTGCAACAATAAATCCAATCGGATTATTATTATCATCAACAGTTGCAGAACGACAACCGTATTTTTATCGTTATTTAGTTTATTACGATAATGATATGAACGAGGGTAGCACGTTCAGCGTAAGTTTCAATCAAATTTAATAATAAATCCATTTTGAGGTGATAGAAAAATTTACATGTTTAATAATTGGATACGGTATATATTCTGACTACGGTATGATAATCCGCAGATACAAATTATTCTATAGACTTTTTTTTTAAATTCAAATATAATCTTATCCATCCATGCTATTATATAAACTTTACTTGTCGAATTTATTTCAACTTAATCTTAAAATTTTCACCTTGATATTGCCATTATAACTTAACAGCAATAATATTATCAGATTTTATCAGTTAATGTATAGAATGTTATTAATTGTGACGATATTTGAATGAAATGAATCATTTTTAGGTATGTACATTATCGGAAGATGCCGGTTGTCGTAATTTAGCTTTAGCAAATAATGCATTAGATCATACAAATTATTTTGCTGTGAATGCGGAAACGTATTTGTCGAAGGGATGCAAAGGTGATTTGTTGAAAATAATTGGTAATAGAACAATAACAACAACAAAAACGACAGAAACAATAACAACAACAACAGGAAAAACTGTTGCCACTACTGCTGGTATAGTTGTAACTGATTCTGGTACTACCAATACTGCAACTGCTGATGACGACACTAATGCTAGTGATGGTGATATTGCAACTACTGATAGTGATGCTGACACTTCTGGTACTAAAGATGATACTATAAATACTACTACTGATAGTACTGCTAGTACTACACTCAATGTTGCTTATACTACCGCTACCGGCGTTATCATTGCATCTGGTGCCGATACTACTGATGATGATGCTGATGCTGATACTGCTGATGCTGATACCACTGATGCTGATGTTGATGTTGATGTTGATGTTGATGTTGATACCACTGATGCTGATGTTGATACTGCTGATACTAATGCTGATACTACTGATGCTGATACCGATCCCAGTGATGCTGATACTGATACTACTATTGCTGATTCTGATTTTGATACTACGGCTGATGCCACTGTTACTGGTGATGATACTACTTCTACTGTTTCTGCTACTAATACTACTGTCGTCACCAGTACTCCGAAATGACAAACTCTTTTAAAAGCATCACTAAATGATATGTATAGCACTGTTGAAATCAATTTTAAATTATACAAATGTTTGACGAGTTGCATTCCATATTAAATCTATGAATAAAATGTACCCTTGAAAAAACTGCTAATTGCTAATTATGATACCTTTATAATTTATTTATTTAAAAAAGGAAAAAATAAGGAAAAAAAATTGCATTAAAATAATTATGAACGGAAATTAGCTAAATGAAATCATTATAATAATAAAATTCTCTCATGGATATTAATTGAAGATCAAATTTTTTTTTATCATAATTCTCGATCGAAAATGTGTAGCTGCTCCTTCATCGTAATATGACAAATAGCAATTTACATATACAATAAATGATACACATGTATCAACTTGTTATGTGGGAAAACGAATGGATTTAATTGTTAATAATTAAGCAAGAAATAGTAATGAAACTATAGCATAATCAGCGTGAAGCTTATTATTAAATTCGTAGTCAAAAAATATCAGATAAAGATGGAAGAAAATGACGATTTTCATACCGTCATTTATTGTTTCTTATTATTGTGCCTATTTTATAATAAAAAAGTGCTTTCTTGATAGTAAGGCAAACATTTTATGCTTCGTTTTTAATCACTTTTTTATTTTATATCTATTTTGCACCATTTTTGATCAATGATATAACGTTAGACAAAAACTAAATCAAAATAATCTTTTTTCTTTCTTGAATTCAGAAAGAATAGAATGTATAATGTTAACAATGGATTTGGCTTAGAAATTGCTTGCGTCTATACACAAACAAACAAACAAACACACAAAGCCATAAATCAAGCGATTTTTTTGAAGACTATCAACGGCTGTCAAAAATTCACAATAACAAACTGAAATAAATTAAACCAAAAATTGCTAAAGAACTCCACCTAAACCATCTTCTAATTTTTTCATTTCCGAAAAGAGAAAAAAGCCCAGGAAGCGAATAGCTTTAAGAGATATCTTTGAGAGAAAAAGAAGCAAAAATAGTAGTTCGCATGGCAGCATTCAAAAAATAAAAAATAAACAAATAAACAAAAAATAAACTGTATGCGAAAACATTTCTACTATACTTTTTCATATAATTTTCTTTTTCTGTCATTTAGCGATAATTTTTTACATGTACTTATATGAGAAAAACGAAACATTTTTCGTCTCTTTACTACCTGTTGATAATAATTTCAATTCATTTTAATTTTGTTTTGTTATGCAAGAATTGATCTTATAAAATGCTTATACATTAACGACAAACTTAATTATAGACGAATAAAATAACCAAAAGGATCCGAGAAAAATAATTAATCTCATACTTAACAATATATATGGTATCACTGACCTTACCTGAATAATTTCATCTTTTCGAAAAGAATTGCTTAATCAAGTGTTGAAATACCACTTAATAAAAGATGAATAATATCACCACATCCATTCATCGATATCATTCTTTTAGACTATTCCGGCATTATAGTCCTCTACTAGTTTGGAATTATAGCCTTCGATTAGCTCGGAATTATAGTCCTCGGCCAGTTCGAAATCATAGCCCTCAACTAGTCCGGCCGAAATTAGTTGGGCTCCGGCCAGTTCAAAAATAAATCCTTTTCCGGATCCTCAATACTTCGAAATATTCAATTTGTCGTTCAATCTATTATTGGGCCGTTAGGGATTTCAGGATACGTCGCATGCAACATAAATATAATTTCCTGTTTGAAATTTGTTGATGGTAGTTTGGCAGGAGATGACCTGACCTCAGTTAACCTGGGATGGAGTGTTAACAAGGGGGAAAAGCTATAACTACCAAGTACTACACAATTTACCATCATTAACAAGAAGTTGAGAATTATTTGAGATAAAGTGAAATAAACTTATGACTATATTTGGGGTGAAATGAAGACAGGAGAAGATACTTCTGTCTCGACGAGATATGGTGTTAAAAAAAGTTGTATGGAAATTAGTAAAGTAATTTGATAGAGTGGTAGTAAATTGGTGATAAATATTTGGTGATGCCACCGTAATTTGGTCTCCAACGTAATATAAGAATAATTTTTTAAGAATGATTCCTTCGATCAGCTTCACGCAGTCAATGATGTGTAAGAAATTGGGCTAATTGGGCGTGGCGTGAAATTGTCCGGAAGATTTATGCATAGTCCGAAATCATTCTTAGGCAATTATGATATGTATAGGAGATAGTTTTAATGATTTTTCGAAATTTAGATACTCTGCGTTGTCATCCGGTTGCATGATTTGTTTTTATCTGTCAGTTCATTAATTTTTTTTCAGTGATTTTAATTAATATAGAAGTTACTAAGGAACGTGGTCATAATGGAAGCTGAAATAGAAGAGCTCAAGTAAGGTTATTTTGCATATTTTCATGAATCTACTCTCTGTTATCTGAAATCTTATGAAGATCTACCGTTTTGATTTCCCCATTATCATTCTTAGTGATATCTTATTCATTTGTTGAGATATTGAATAAGAAAGATTTTACAGATTTTCACAAGACTTCAGGTAACATTTCATTACATTACTTCAGGTAACATTAATTTCAACAATTCAAGATTTTATACTAATTTTGCAGCTTAAATAACATTTCTTCACATGTAACATGTTTGGAATGTCATGCATCATTCATAATGTGCTAGCACATAACCTCTGGTGTGTCCTTATTTGCGCTTTAGTAAGTCATAGTTACAGGCTGAAATTAAAAGAATCAGAGTCAAAACAAGTAGCCATTGCCCAGTTGGCAAAGGAAATATTAGAAAAGGATAAGGATAAGGATCAACGCCTCTCTACGCTTGGTGAAGAAAATCTTCAGCAGTCCAGGGTATGGTTTTGTATTTACCTCGAATTTTCTCCCTTTTCTCAAAATTCATTTGAAGTATTTTATTTACTTACATTTATATTTCATTCGTGCAGCCTTTGAAATAATTTTTTATGACTCATAATTATGATGACATGTACTTAGGGAACCAGGTCGTCTTGATTTCAATACTTCATCAGATTGGAAATTATCGAAATAAACTATGAATTATCAAATTGCAATTTCAGAATATTTCTCGCTTACAAGCGTTGTTGAAAAGTCGTGATGAAGATCTGGCTGATGCTGAAAGTGAAGTGACAAAACTTCGCAATGAAATTATTGAAATAAATGGTATCAAAAGCGCTTATTTAGTCGAACTCGAGCAAAAAATGTCTTTTCTTCGTGCCGAGGTTTCTTATATCAATCTTTTATAGAAGTACTGCAACTTTTCTCGTTTTTTTCTTTGTTCTCTCTCATTCATTCTTATATAATGCAGTTGTTTCAAGACTGCCATATTCAGTATATCAGCATATGTTCAATATGCTGATATACTTATGTATATGTACTTGGTTAAGTTAATCATTAATTCTCTCATTCTTTATTAATTTTTCAAATTAGTATTCTTTAATTGCGTATAAAAACGATGAACCCATATCTACTTTTAGATGTAATTTGTTAGTTATAGCTGCTGTCCTCTTGTGGTTTTCTAATTGCTTATAATTGCTTTAATTCCCCATATTTTTTCGGAGAAGCCTGACCATTCTTGGTTTTTGGTAATATCAAAAAGTGAGATCAAAACTTTGATTGATACATTTTGAAAGCAATCTTTTACAGGTAAATGAAAAGAATGGCATGCTGTTTGATCAAGAGCAAGAAATGCAAGAAGTGAAAAAAACATTGGCATCGAAAGAACGGGAATTGGAAAAAGCGTCGCAAAAACCTGAAGTGTCGATCAGTCAAATACGCAACAGTTTCTCCAATTCTGAGCGAGCGAAGTTGAATGAGAAAATAGTTAGCTCTTTTTGAGCGATTACTTTCCTGTGATGCTAAAAGCTACTGTAAATGGAAAATATTATTATGAAGTGTCTGATCACTTAAATTTTTAAATGTTAGATTTCTTTGATTTTTTCAGGCAGAAATGGAATTGGAAAGGAATTTGATGTTGGACGAAATTTCACAGCTGCAAGATAAAATAGTTATGGTTAATCGGAATTTGGACAATGAACGAAGTCATGTTGAGGAGCTTTCAACGATATGTAATGATTATAAACATGACGTCGAGGTTGTCTTCCATTTTTTTACTTCGAAAATCGTTTCTTGTATTTTGATCCTATCTTAGGCAATTGTTTTTATTTTTTTCGGCACATCTTATTTTATAGATAATTTAAAGGAATTAAAGAATCGATGTAATGAATTAACTTCTGAATTGAATGAATATCGCAGTAAAACAAAGATCGCAAAGAGAGGGAACTCAATGTTTTTTGAAGTGAGTTGAGCTTGCAACTGACTTCAGTAAAGAAAAAATTTTCATGTTATCGTTTCGAATTTTTAAGACATTGTCGTAATATCATTTTTTCAGTCGTTTGTAAAATTTTCAATGACATCTTACCATTGCTGTCATAGTTTTAGGCATCATTTTTAGTTTGTTGATGAAAGAGTCAAACTGGAAAAAGATCTCCTAAAGCTGAAATGCCAGAATGACTTTTTTGCTAGTCAGAAAGAAGCATATGAGTTGGAATTAAACGAGCTAAGACACGAATTGATGCTTGCGTTAACCTTACGTACTGACGAAGGGAATGCTGGTAAACGATTGTTTAATAATGTGCGAAATGTTTAATGAAATATTGCTTTAAGGTAGGAGAGGTGTCTGAGTTTTTATTTGATGGTCCTGAGAAAAGTAGGTTATTTTTTCCATGCATGCCAGTTTTTGTGTTTTTAAATATTGTGCACAATGATACATAAATGCAGTCAAATGTTTGTGGTATTTGTTGTTTTCTGGCGCAAATGAAAGGGTCTTTACTTCTCCAGAGCATTTTCGTTTTATGTTGTAGAATTTCATTATTCACTTCTGTACTAATTCATGATTTATTTAAGGCAGTGATACAAGTATGTTACAATTGGAAATTTCTCGCTTACGCACTGAATTGACAGCACTTAATGCCAAATTATTGGAAAAATGCAAGGAGAGCGCAGAGGTTGAGACGGGGACTGTTTCAAATACTTCGAATATCGTTGATTTGAAAGAATTTGCTTTCAACAATTTGAAGTCAGTTTTCTTTTATATATTCCTCTTTATTTATACTGAATTTTAACAAAATCCAGGAAAAAGAATGCACGAAGAAAATTGTCTGGTTGATTCCTCTATAACTAATAAAGATTTGCAAAATCTCACGTGAAATTAACCATTCACATCAAGAATATCAATTAAATTAAATTTGAAGTCGTAATTAACGAACAAATTGTAAAATTAGTTTTTCGAAATTGAACTTCTTTAAATCTTATAACGAAAGTTAATAAATTTATAGTTTTAAAAATCTCTTCTATTAACTTTATTGCAGAGAAGAGGTGAAAACCTTAACTCTAAAATTAGACAGAGCAGAGAAGGAGCGCATTAAATATTTCGAGAAAGTTCGAGAATCTGAGAATCGATATTCAGAAGAATGTAGGCGTTCTCGAAAGCTCTTGAACGAAATAGAATGTCTGAAAAGACGACTTGTGCTGGAGCAGAAAAAAAGTTTTAATAATGCACTTTCGAAAGCGCTTAAGCCTTCAAAAGGTTCCAATTTATTTCTTAGAATAAGAAACCGAACTCAAGATCTCGATGACACTAAATTTGTCACTTATTCCGGATTGCTAACGATTGACTAGACACTTTCTTTTCTTTTTAACACAAGTTGTCGAGTCACTTGAAAATCTGGAGGTTTTAAATGGCAATCATTCTTTCATTTCATATTGAAGCCAAAATTATTTTTTACTTGACTTCTTTTCGTAATTTATTCAGCGAATTTGATTTTTCTCGTTTTTACTTAACTTATTATTATTGGTGAAATTATTTTAGAAATCTTAACGGAAAAGATTGCTGACTTCAACGAAAAAATTGCTAACATTAATCAGATTGATGCAGATGATCCAACTATCAGCGAAATACAAAGCGCAGTTACACTGTCGAACTGCTCTCTGACATCTACCAGACGTCCATTGAAGGAAGAAGAAATCGCTAATATTGGAAGTGGTACTTTTTTCTTCTTTAAATTTTATGCATTCTAAAAAACAGAAATAATACACCAAATTGCGTCTGTTTATTTATTACGTTGGATATGCATAAGTTGTTCCCTGACTCTCTTCTAGGCTCTAATCGATATCTCGATTGGGTTTATGTACTCTATTCACATTTTAAGTAAAAAATATAAATCGCTATTTTCGGTGCCGTTATAAACAACTTTGAAAAAATGAAAAATACAATTAAGCTAAAGTTCTTGTATTTTCATACGCTTGTGTTTATTAAGTAATCAGTCAGATGGGCAACCTCATAAAGGTGGCGTACATTTTTGCTTCATAAAGTTAGGAACATTAAAATTTTATAAAGTACGCCACTTATTAATGAAGCGATATTGATCTCACATTAATTACTTTTAAGGAATACGAACAATTTCTACTGAATCAGCACGTGGTATTGATCAAAATGAGGCACCGCATTTGATGTTAGAGTCAAAAACACCGTCATATACGAGTGATAAGGAAATGCCGGCTGAGAAGCGGTTAAAATTTCAGGTTTGGTTTATTTATTTATTAGAATACTTCAGAATATATTTGCAAATCTCTTTAGAATGATTGTAGCTGTGCAGTAATTCTCTCAAAGGAAAAGGAAATCTAGAAATCAGTTATTTTATGGTTTATAATCTTTTGTCTAATAAAGCTTAAGTTCTAAAGACTGATTTTTATAGTACTTTAGTGTTCTTACGAGCATTTTTTCGGCAGAATTTTATAGTTGTCATATGGAACATGTTACTTTCTCTTCAAAAATGCATCCGTTACAACAGAGTTTAAATGAGCGGTCATAGCTGAAAAAAATATTTTATTTCACTTAAAGGAAACGAGGTTTTAGCAGTTATTTTATAGCTTACAGTTCTCTGCCTAATAATTCTAGATTACTTTATAGATTGATTTTTCAGATTATCTTTTGCAAAACACACTCTTCTAGGATGTTTTTTTTTTTCTTTTGTAGTTGCCAGACGACGGATTTAGTCACTCGGCGACTGGTGGGACTAAGGATGTATGCCGGAGAAGACCAAGACCAAAAAGACGAATAATGAGAAGGGTTTGTTTCAATTTATCTGAATAAAAATTAGTTATTGAAGATGCAGCGCACGAAAAATAAATCATATAATGATACTGTCATTATATGAAATTTTGTTAGCTTAAAAAGAAGAGCTTACTATGCTGAAAGAAATTGCTTTCTTAGTTCCTAATCAAATACTAGAATAATGAGATTCTACGATTTATGTTTGAACTTTGAAACAATTCATTTTATCATTTTATGTTTCAAAATAACAGTCATAAGATAAGCGAGGATCCATGCAGAAATAAAACTTGAGACAAATTTTTTTTTGGAAAATTAATTTCTTCATCAAGATCCGATCTCGGTTCGTTCGCATTTCGTAATAATATTACTACTTCAGAATGTTATGTCAGAATAGATATACGTTGATGTGTATGCTAGTTAAATACTTATGATGGCTATTGATAAAGCTAAGCATTTTAGGTATGTGAAGCTGGTGGTTTATGAAAAGGCATGTCTGCTATGATTCACTTTGCAAAGCAAGATTTTATAAATCATTACTGTGCTTCATTTTATAACGCTTTATAATTTGTTTTGCTCTGGCTTAAGTTAAATTAGTAATTGGAAGCAATGATGATTTTGTGATAAAAATACTTTGCTTCAGTAGATTTCACTTTCTAAAAATTGTAGGGAAAGGTCTTCATTTATCTCTACAGCGCAGTTCCTCTTGTATTTTCTTTCTTAAGAGTTCCAAGATACTTTTAATATTTATTATACTTGTAAATATATTTCATTAACATTCCTCTCTTTATGCCCTTTTTCTGAATATAGTTTCCAGTATTGTTTTGCTCTTGTAGCACCAGATTATTTTTCTGTGCTCGATTTCTGTGGCTTGTATTTCAGGGCACATTTACTGTATTACATAATAGCTGAAATAAATTATTCCGTGTTCTTATTTTTTGTATTGCTTTCCGAGGTTTCACAGCTATCCAATATTCATTTCTTTTAGAATGTTTCAACTTATTTTGAAAATAATGCATTGAGTCATTGCAAGCTTACTTTTTTATTTCAATGCAACGACTCTTATGATTGGAAGAGGCCAAGAAGCGCTCCTTCCAACAAAAGAAGGAACGTCAAGGCATCTTTCTTGTTTATGTTAGCGGTAGGTGTATAATAGTGGGAGCGTGATAATATTTGGTGAAGGAAGTTTTAATGCACGGTAGCGAAAATTGATCTGAATACTTTGCATGAAGTTTTGTGATGGTTATCAGATAGATCACGCTTGACTTTTTAGTTTTTCTTAGAAGAACCTTAGAATAATTATTTGCTTTCAAATTTTGTTGATAAAATTGATCAAGTAATTGTTTCTAGGTAAATAACCTAGTAAGAGAAGGAGGCAACCGTGGATATTCAAATGATGGGCGAGAATTTGTACTACGCTGGTTGGTTTTCTTAAGCTTATATACAAATGTAGGAGGTAAAGTTGTATGTATATGCCGCTTATAAGCGTCATTTTTGATTTGCTTATATGCTTCTGATTATGTATATGAATGAAATTAAAGTAGACAAGAAATGCTATTTTTTCAGTCTTTAGTTACAAAATCATATGACTGGAAGTAATGTAATGAGCATTATGGTGCCCTCAAAATTTAATTTTTTTTGTAGTAAAATATATGAAATCTTCCTCTTTGAGATGTTGATTTGCAGTACGTGGTTCCAATGGATTTGGTGTTATCAGGGGTATTAGCTCACCTTCGAGGATATATGACAAGTCTGAGTAAGCTTTTTCCTTTTTCTCTATTGTTTTTGATTGTCCATGAATATATCAAATCATTTATCTAATGTGGAATGCTGTTCAGCACAATCTAGGCATCTTTCAGAGATCCCAAATCGCATCCCTGTCGGGTATTTCAATTCAGTAACACTGGGCAATATTTCTGTTACTGCGATACTGTCAGGTGCGTATTTTTTTGTGTATTCGTATGTATCGTTATTGTGCAATCATTTATTCATTTCCATTGGCATAGCTGCAAACTAAACACAAGTGTCAACTTTTTAGAGAAGATTCCTGGTGCTTACCGTCTAAGTATTTCAGTTCGCGCACTTATGATGTTAAAGAACGAAATAATGAGAATGTAAATCATCGTCAGAAGTATTTAGTAGTTCATCCGAGCGTGAATTTTACTGAATTTTACTACGTTCTTCTATTGGATATGATTTTCAGAACAGTTTTGGTTGAAAGTTCCACTGGAAGAGAAATATTTAATGTTGACTTACCGCGTACTCAGCAAATTGTCTTTTCTCCAAGGGACCGTCTGTTGGCAGCATATGAACCATATGTTTCTTATGTTGCAAAAACGGTTTGTCCACAATTTTTATTCACTTTTTAAAATTTTGAACCTGCATTAAAAAAAAGATCTGTAATTTTTTCACCAAGATATCCTAAGATTACAAGAATTAAGAGAAAATGTTAAAATGTAATTATAATTTATCGACGAACAAGAATTTACATTTGCATGAATTTCGGTCATTATCAAAGATAATAAGTCTACATTCAATCTAGAATCAAGGCAGCAAGAATGAAAGGTTCGGTACTATTGATTAATTCACTCAATGGTAACTTGATTTAGAGTGTTTCTAAACACTAAACATAACCTGCTTTGCAATGTGAGCTGCCCGGACAGTTCAATACACGAGCCAAACCTCATTATTAGTGATAACCAATACTAGTTATTATTTCATTGCATCAATCACTTCTAAATATGCTCTCATTGTTTCGTCCAACTTCATTATTCTTAATGATCATCAATAAATATCTTTCTGTTCTTTCTCCGTTATAATTATTTTTTTTTAATCCGTGCATTAAATATGTGATAGTGGGTTCACATAGCTACATCCGTGGTATAGTGGGGGCGTCATGTGTGGAATGCGAAAGTGTCGAGTTGGAATCCGTGATGCACATGAATTCTAGTGTTGGAATTACGTCATTTCCTTCGTACTTGGGAAACGTGTGCGAAATAAAAAGGCTTTGATGTGAGCTCGCCTGCGACCTTTGTCGTTGTGCGTGACGGTTAGCCGACAAGTTTGTGTAATTCACTGAAGCGGTTGTTTTCATGAGCATGTGTTTTCAATGTTGAGGAGAGGTGGGTGGAGAAGTCGCAGTAGCGTTGTTGTAGTAGATTAAAAAAAACTTGGTAACATGTTTGCCATGAAGTTGAGAAGAAGCTTCGTTTTGGTAATCGTTTGAAGGTCTCGTTTACTGAATTATGGTAGTGGACGAATGTTTGTGGATGCTATTGAAACGATACAGAATATCACATGGAGCATTAACAATTGTTATTTTAGGTTGAAAATATTGAACAACGACATCCAGCACCAAATCTTAGGTTATGGTCTCTTCCCGACGGAAAGCATATCACTACACTAATTGCTCAAAAGCAGGTATGCATACTTAGCTAATTGGTACTCATCTTTGCAATCTTTTCTGTTCATAATTTTTGATCCGTTTCTTCCGTTGCTGTTCTATGCATGAAATCTAGACGTGATCAGGGTCACGTAGCAGGGAAAAATGTTGCAATGATAATAAACTGCTTAATTTGAGAACTCATGGAAAATTCAGTGGACTGATGATGAAGTCTATTCAGTTCGTTTGGTTGGATCCGAAATTTTGATTCACAAATATAATTCATATGGTAAGATATTGCTATATAGAATAAAGCTATGAGAATTGCTCATTCTTTTTTTTGATTCTCTTACAACGAAATAATTGATTGGCAAAGTTATTTTTTAGTCATCTTATAATTTTATTTTTGTTTGATATTATATATTTTGCAGAGAAATATGAGTCAAAACTAGTGATCCGAAATGTTGAAAGTTGCTCATTGAGCTCTGGAATGGAGCCACATCATCTTGCAGTATATATTCCTGCATTTGGTGGACAACCTGCATTGGTACAACTCAAGAGGTATGTTCATATTGTTAAGCTATTATTTGTAAGAAATGCTTTTATGCTTTTATTCCTTTGCATTTGTTCTAAAAATTCTATTCTTTAGCTATTTTTTTTCGAGACATCGCTAGCATGCGTTTCTATAAACTTGTTTTTCGAAGAAAAAGATTCATTCTTTTCCAGTTAGAAATATTTCAGGTTGGATCACAAATTCACTACAGTGGCTAGCAAAACTCTCTTTAAATGCGATAAAGTTAATTTATTATGGAGTTGCAAAGGTTTGCTGTTGGCTTTATTCATTAAGTTGTTTACTTTTACCAGATCCATCAGATTATTCCGTTCATTCAGCGATTATTCCGTCATTCGGCACAACCTAGCATTTTTGTAATGATTTTTACGAAAAAGACTCATTTTTTTTGAAAGTCAAATTCTCGCTTATCTATGAATCAAATTACCTGATTTTGGTCTGCCGTGAAATGGCGTTTTTTTAGTTAGGTATTTCAATTTCTGTGCTAAGAAGGAATAGTGATCTCTAGACATTTATGGTTTATTTTTAAGAGGACCGTAAACATTTTTCAGGAAGTGCAATGATAATAATGGCCATAGTGGATGTCGATACTTCAAACAAGAGTTATTATGGTGAACAGAATTTGTATCTTGTGGCAGTAAATGGTGATAATTGTACTGTGCCACTAGAGAAGCGTGGGCCTGTTTATTGCGCCAAATGGAGTCCTAGCGGGAAACAATTCGCAGTTTGCTATGGATTTATGCCTGCTCGAGTATTTTTACCTCTCTAAAACTTTTTCAGCTAACTATTTCAAACAAATTTGAAGAATGATCGCTCTAATTAATCCACATTGTCGCTTCAGGTAACTCTATACAATTTGAAATGTGACCCAGTTTTTGACTTTGGCGAAGGCCCACGAAATGATATGTATTACAATCGATTTGGAAATATCTTGATACTTTGTGGTTTCGGAAATATTGCAAGCGGTCGTATGCAATTTTGGGATGTTGAAGCCCGACGTGAAATTGTTACTGTATGTTTTTTTTCAAAGTTTGAATTTGGATTTCAATTTGATCTCATTTCAAATCTCATTTCTTCCTGTTGATTTTTTTAACTAAACAAAAAAAATGCATTTTGCACTTGCTCTTCTTGTGTTTTCTGTCTTCCGACTTATACTGACATTATTTAGATCGAAGCACCAAATACGACATTACTAGAATGGGCACCAGACGGTCAGCATTTGATGACTGCCACTACAGCTCCAAGACTTCGAATCGATAATTGCTTCAGGATATGGCATTACAGTGGTCGCTTGCTTTATGAACATCGTTATGATTTTCCCTCCGAATTGTGGCAGGTATTCTCCATTTTTAATTTTTTATTTTTTTAAATGTAATTTTTTATCATTCTTGTATTTTTCAAATGGATGCTGTGTGCTTCATTACATAGGTAAGCTTTCTATCCATGATTGCATCTGATGTATGGTGGCCACTGCCAATATGAGTTGTCCTGATGAATCTTTTTAACGTTATTGCTAATTAATGACAATAAGACAGCAATTTTGTTAGATTTTATACGATATAATTTTTTGCTTCGTTTTACGATCTTTATTTTTGCACTTTTTTGTCACTTTTTAAATGAAGTGACTCTTTAGTTACGAAATTTATCCATGACAAAAGAGTTCTATCGTGTTATTAGATCTACAAGGTTCATTATATTTCATAGGTACAATGGCGTCCTGTTCCTGGGAACATTTACCATTCCTTTTCGATTCCAATTCTGACAGTTGAAGACAAAGCAAAAGCTGGATTAATGTTGCAAGGGAAGAACGTAGGCAATGAGCATCCAGTCAGTAATTTGCCAGTTGGCACAATCAATAAAAATGGAACTTATGTACCTCCACATTTGCGCAAAGGTGATTAGATTTGTTGAACAACACAAACTTCTTGTGTTTTTAGTCTTCGATATGGATAACTGAAGTTGGAACAAGGAGATTGCATATTATTCTTTCATTTTGTTTAAAGAATGTTGCTGTTATCTTTCGTTTTACAAAAGGTTACATAGTTCTGTCGACAAAATCTACAATATTTTAGGATCGACGAAGAATGCTTTGAAAACGGCGACATCGGTTTCAAGTTCGAAAACTCCGTTATCTGAAAAAGAGAAAAAGGTAGAAAAGAAGTTATCCCTCTAATATATTGTATAGACAAATGCAGAACTATGATTTATCTCTTTGATGTCATGTAGTAATATTTGTAAATGGAATGGGAGGTTGGTAAATATAACCTAAATAATGTTTGTTTTGTGCAATTTGCGGGAAGTAATAAAATAATTTAAGAATAAATCTCTTTCAGATACGTGCATTGCAAAAAAAAATCGATGATATTGAGAAATTGAAGAAACGTAAAGAAAGCGGGCAAACCTTGGAAGCAAATCAGATGGCAAAAATTAATAAGGAAAATGAGATTATTGAGGAATTGGAAAAACTAAGAGTTACCTGAAAATTGCATTTGTTTGGACTTCTTGGATGGTTCTTGGGAAAAAAGTACATCATTTTTCCAAGAAAAGAATTAAAATTGGTCCTGTTTAGTTTTTTTTGTCGTCTCTCTGTCGTATCGAAATATCTGATTTACACTGTTACGAAAATATGAATAAAATTTTGAACCTGCATGTTTTTGTTATATAGCCTGTTATATTCAAAAAGAAAAAGCTTTTGCTATATTTTCATTATATGGTTCCTCATTATACATGTCGTCATCGGCAAAATAGCTTACCGAGGACTATGACATGATAAATTGCCGGACAATTTTTATCTTGAAAACTACTCTTTGGAGCTTATAGACAGATTAAATGGATAACTGTGTAATAGAGTTGTTAAATGCCAGGAAAAAACTATCTGGGTGAATATCGTTAATTATTATTGTAGTAATCTTTCGGTTGTAACATCAGTAATATTCCAATTGACCCAAATAAGCTGTTATTTGCCAATTTCGTTGTAGAGTTGTGCCTACGAAAACGTCCTAAGGCTGCGTTTTGGTGACATTATGGGAAGATTACCTGGTAACAAAAGCAAGCTCATAAAGAACACAGTGAATAACGATGAAATTAGTGCGAAAAGTAAGTGACATTTTTAGATCTTTCATGAAGGACGTTGTCAGCTATTACCTCAGTATTTGTAATGACAGGCTTCAAAATTGAAAATTCTCAACCTTTTAATATGAGGATCTTTCTTTGAATAGAATAAATTCAATAGAACAATACACCTAAACAAATCTTTCGAATTTTGCTAATGAATTATTTTGTAATTGTATTATTTTGTGTTGCTGGTAAACAGCAAATATGTTTGGATTGAGAAGTAACATTAAAAATGAGCTTTAAAAAATTGGGTAGAATTATGCAGTTGCTTTGTAACAATATTCAGTATTACAGTGTACAATCGTTGTAGGCAACAGACGATCTTATGTACGTCAACGTAGAAAACTAAATAGTAGACAATATGAACAGCCGTGCACATCTAATCAAAAGGTTATTCAGTGATATTCCATTATATTTTGTTAGATATTCATATGTTTATGTATCGGATTGAATGGAATGTTGAGACAGCATGAGGATTTGTGAACTTCAAAACCTCAAAAAATTATAAACACTGAAAAACTCGATGAATCATTTCTTTTTTCAGAAATTTGGCTGTCTTATAAAAGTTTTAGTGACAGTGTTGTTTTGACTTTAATTTTTTGAGATTTTATATATATAAGAATTAATATTACTGAGTAATGTTCTTCAGCCGAAATTGGTATGCAGTCTACCGGAAAAGCTAACGAAGGAGCTACAGACATTGTCCATGGAAGTTGTCGAATTTGAAAGAAGAGCACAGGATCGTTATCGTAGTTTAATTGATGAAAATATTAATCTGCGGAAACAAGTTAACGCTTTAAGGTGTTGATTCGGTTATTTATCCTTTCAAAAGAGCTTTCATTGCTTTTGAAAGGTCTAATTAGCTACTGCATAGTTTTCTGTATATATGTATAAAATACTTCAATGGTATGTATAATTCTGTTTTTATTGATACACTCCGGAATTTCTATAGTTTACGGAACTTCTTAAGTTACATTACTTTTTCTCGTTATTCTAATGATATATACATGAATACACTTGCACCTAACTAATTTTTTTTTGAAACAACTTAATGGCTAGTCTCAGTGCGATAGCAATAGATTGATTTAAACTTGACAATTAACTTTTCCAATTTTGCTTAACTGAAAAAGAAGTTACTTTTTTACATTTCTACTTGCAGCAGTAGAGTAGCGGAACTATGTCAGAAGATCAATAAACTGTATTCAAAAGAAATTGTGGCAGAAAAATATGCGCTTCATGGAGCAAAAATGGACAATTCGCCAGTAGGATTAGAACCACATGTTAATGGTTCTTTTGATGATACGGATGATGAGGAAAAGTTAGTTTCGTTACTGGAGTTAACTAGATTTCTTTGCGCTGTATATGCTGACTTTTCTCTGACTATCTTCTCTAAATCATCAAATCCTCCTAAGAATTATCCAAATTTAAAGTTTGAAAGCATAATAAGTTGAGGTCAATGGAATACTATAATGCTTTATTACAGGCCTGATGAGGCAGTTGGTACGAAAGGTTCTGCCATCGATGCTAACGAACTTAGTAACAAACCTCGTAAAAGACGCGCTGCCGCTAACAAACGTGAGGGTGATTATGCTAACATGTTGAAGCAAAATATCTCGTTTTACGAACCAAAGAAATCTGTGGTTGATACACCGAAGTCTCGAGAAAAAAAGGCCAAATTTTTGAAAAAAGGATCAGATGATGGTACTGATTCAGATAAGTAAGTGCTAACAACACAAACTATCGTCTTCTTTGCTTGACTAATAAATAAACTTTTTAGTTGTCAGATAATTCAATTAAAACTTTCTATCTGGCATAAAAAATTTGATTCTTAACATTACTAATTGTCGTACGGTAGATAATGGTTCAAAGAGTGTTGAGTCTTGTTGCGCTTTTTCGTGCTTAAAGTAATCCATCATATCAGACCGCACTGAAAGGTGAGGTAGTGCAGAAGATTCTTGTGTTTTTTATCTTTCTTTCTTGCTATGTCATCAAGAGTCATTTTATATGCAAATACTGGATTTGGTAGCGTCTAAATATACGCTTGAAGGCTTAACAATCGCTATTCATGTTGCAGTATTATATTTTAGCTCGAATGATGATTCAAAAGAAGGAAACGAAATTTCGCCATGGAGAATGTATAAGCATATCCAAATTAAGCCTCAGCAAACTGATTTACCAAAACCAAAAATTGCTCGTTCTGGTGGAGGTCGTAATGTTCACTTTACGGATGAATGGAAACAGTATGCGACAACTGTTTATCCCATTGATCCAAGTCGTTACTGGAATCTGCCGCAGGCTCAATATGATCTTCTCATACCGGTAAATAATACTGTGCAAAATTCTGAACTGGTTACAATTCCGAAGGAAATCGAGGAAATAGTTCTTAAATTACTTTGTAGCACCGCAGGAAGGTTTTTATTGTTTTGCTAATTTGTGAAATAGATTTTAAGCATTTATGACAGTCTATTCAAAAAAAAATTTATCTTGCAAATGAAATTAGCAAAGGAACAACGAAAATTGTTTGGATTTTATTACTACAAATTTTCTGAACAACCTCAATTTTTTATCAAGAAAATATTTTCTTTCCTAGGACTCTGATTTGGAAATGTATGCGAAAAATCCAGATAAAACTGAAAAGGAACATTTTATTCGATCAATTTATGACTGGTTTCGAAGTCAACATCGTGTTGCTCAATTGCGAGTGGTACTAAGTGAATGCAGTTCGGCGATCGATTTTGGTGATTTATGGGACGTGTATGTTAAAGAAATGAAACGACGGGGTTGGCCCGTTTATGGGAAAAGACTTCGAAAAGGTGAAGTGTCAACTGCGAAGCAACAAATTTTGGAAGATTTCATTGACTCTAACATTCAAATTTTTTAATGTGCTTTTATACCCTCCAAGCTCACTTTTATTTTCTAAATTTGCTGTTGTTTGAATTTCGAATTTGCTTAATATTTCGTTTTTTTTTGAATTTCTCTTGTTGCTAATCATTTTGATATGTGGAAAGCATAGGGAAAACAAAATAACGAAAATACATGGTATGAATAATTGCAATGCGATGTGAATCACATTCATAAAAATATTACCTAGAACAGCGCAAATGTAGAGAATAAATAGATTGAGTAGGTAATTTAATCATCAGTTATCAATCACAATGTCTTTTGTTTGCAAAAATCTTAATTAGATTAAATAAAAATTTCAAAATGAAATTTTTGGTGAGATAAAATTTAACCAACACATATAGATCTTTTTACAAAATGAAATTAAAATATGGTTCCATCGAAATTCTACAGTGCTTCTAATAATAATTTATCAAATTATTTTACTTTTAGGTAGGGTTGACAGGAAAACAGTTTTTCTTAGATAAGTGCTGTGTGATTATTGAACTGCCAAACATGTTTTATCAGTGGTCCTGAAATTTTTATAGATCGTTTTTGGCAAAGTGAGTGATTTGTTGAATGTGCTAACACATTTTTGTTTTTGTTTATTCAATGGATACGCGATGATTTTATTTATCAATATTTCGTTTTTTGCTTTATTGTTGTTTGATCAGTTGAATTTTTTTTAATCCGCTAGAATTTTGAGTACTACAGAAGTTTGTGATTAAACTTATTTTATGACACGAAAATGAGTCCATTGCATAATTTCAAATAATCGTCCATTGCATCTTACTCTATGCAATCCGCTCGAATTTCATTTTGCTTAAAAACCAATATTAAAGGGATATTGACCCTTTAAATATGTCTATCCTTAAATTATTCAATTTTTTTGAATTCGTTTTTCCTTAAAAATATTCAGTGTATAAACGAATGATTCGTGACAATCTATAAATTGATTCAAGTATCCCGTCCAGACATTGGGCGACATAATTCGCTATGAAATCTATGAATGTAAACAAAAAGGATTGATACGAATATCAATACTTTATAAGTTGGTTTAAATTATAAAAGTTGTGTATGTGTGGCAGCGGATAAGTTTTTAATAACGAATAACGAATTCATGAAAACATTTGGATGCAATATGAGCATAAGACCAAAGCAGAGTTAGATTAGCTCATACAAGCTGCTAGGTGTAAGATAGGTCAAGTTTATTCGAGATTTACCATATTATCAGTTAGGGAGATTATTGATGTTAATATCTTATTCACACCCTATTCATAAGAACCAATCAACATGAATATTTTTCATGTTAGACAATCATTTTGATTATGAAAGAGCCAAGCTATTCAAATTAGTATTAGGCAGCTTTCAAGAAATCAAAAAGGACAGTGAAGAGGAAGGATAAGATGAAATATTTTTAAACAAAAAATACTCCATCCAAATTAATATATTTTTTTGATTGATAACCTCTCTTAGCTTCTTGATAATAACAGATAAGTTAGGAAAGGTTATTTGATGGATAAAAAAAACTGAGTGCTATATTCAGTAGTACTTTAGAATTTATTAAATTTGCCATGAAATTTTTTCTATGAATTAGATTCAAATGCTAAAAATTCATTTTTCACCCAAAATTTGCATCCTTAAAAATATTAGCTAATGAAAGATTATGGCTTAGATAGATGCATACTTCTCCGCAAAAAAAGAAAGAAAAAAACGATCATTAAGCAGGACTTTAATAAAGCTGGAAATAATTGCGATGCAATGATAGTTTTATTCTGTTTCCGCTTGTTTCATTACTTCTTCCAATTCTTCATCAGCACTTGCATCCTATAATATTGATTGAATGAATGATGTAAAATAAGCAATTAGGCAAATCTATCCATAATCAAAATTTCACATTATTTCGTTTCACATCTGATTTACTGGAAAATCTTTTCCATCCTTGATATAACTAATTCAATCTCAATCTTCCAATTTTCATAATCGAAGAATAAGTAAGTCGATTTTTACAGTGGGAGTAGAATCAAGAAAATAGGAACCTGATATTGTTGGTACTCAGAAACCAAATCATTCATGTTACTTTCTGCTTCCGTAAATTCCATTTCATCCATACCTTCACCGGTATACCAATGAAGAAATGCTTTTCGTCGAAACATTGCTAAAATATTTCATTGCAATATAGTGATCAAACTTTTTGTTAATTTTTTTTTAATTTTACCTAAATAGAATCATCCAACAGATAATCGATCTTAGAGCTATGTGTCTATTAATGAAATTATTCGGAATAATTCATGCTAATCGATTCAATAAATTTTATGAAAATAAACCAGTAAATTGCTCGGAAACACGTTTGAAAAGTTCCTGAATTGCCGTCGAATTGCCAATAAATGTGGCAGCCATTTTCAGTCCACGTGGCGGTATGTCGCATACCGCTGTTTTTACATTATTCGGAATCCAATCAACAAAATATGCGGAATTCTTGTTTTGTATATTTAGCATTTGTTCATCAACATCCTGAAATGAGTAAAGATTCACTTACATATTCAAATATATTTTCAACTTTGAAAATGCGCTTGATAAATTAGACAGTAACTATCCGCTCCTATTGTCTTATGTTTGTTATTAAGAATAAGCAATCCAAAATTTAATTTTTGTATAACTTATAAATTAAATTTGAAATTTAAACTTTCTACTTTTTTTGCCCGAGAAACAATTAACTCTGCTAGGACAACGATGCAACATTAGCGCTATTTGTGCACTTTTAATTTCATCATCATCATCATCATCATCATCATCATTAATGCATGACGTTGAAAGTTGAAATATTCAATAGCTGGCATCTATAATGTTAAATTCTAGCTAGAACATATTTTATCCGGATATATAGTATAAAGGTAAAATTCATTTGAAGCCAATGAGTTATTTTCAAATTCCAGGTGACCTTTTCTTCTAAAGACAATTCAACTAATGATTAATTTAGGGCAGTTGCTATAGCTGATATCCATTAATTTTTATTAATGAGAAAAGATCTTCTTAGTATCAAAATAACATAGCTTTTATGGAATTTGTCATAAATTTGAAAGTTTTGGAGAAAAAAAAAGAAATGAAAATGGAAAACCTTCATTGACATTCTTCCACGAAAGATTGCGGCAGCTGTAAGATAACGTCCATGTCGTGGATCGCAAGCAGCCATCATATTTTTAGCGTCAAATAATTGCTGAGTTAATTCAGCTACAGTAACAGCACGATATTGTTGATTGCCTATAAAATAAAATAATTTAATATCGGTATTAGTCATTGATTTCGATGATAAATTTGGAAATGTAAGAACAATGAGAAAATATATTATTCTAAATTTCACTCATAAATTAGCTCCAACTAATCAAATAGATTATTAGCTATTTATTTTCTTGCTGTTAACTTTTGATGAATAAAAAAATAAAACAAAAAGCGAAACAAACTTCGAGAAGTAAGTGGCGCAAAACCGGGCATGAAAAAATGCAATCGTGGAAATGGCACCATATTGACAGCCAGTTTGCGTAAATCAGCATTTAGCTGAAATAGTTTGGATGGATGGAATGACAAGAATGAGTTGATTACTTTAAATATAAAGTTTAAAAAAATTAAACACTGAAGCGATAAATATCTTGTTAAGTGGTGTTGCTTAATTGTGGCAAAATTAAGCAAAACAGTAGCTTAGTTGCTTAATAATTTGCTAAAACAATTGTGGAATTGTGATAAATTTCAACAATATTCACAACCGTAATGATAAATATCAGTAAATCTTTTAGATTAGTATCAGATTTTACGTATGGATAAAATTAATGATGTTTTTATTTTAATCAATTTTGAGACTAAATATTTGCTTGCAAGAAATTGATCATATTGACATTACCACAAACCAATTAACAGTTTTAAATTCAAGAAAGTAAATTTATTTCAACAAAATTGAAATTATTTGAATTGTCTTAAAAGATGATGGAAGGAAGACAAATAAAGGCTGTAGGGCAAACACAAGTCATTTCAATTTTTCATTAAAGTATCATTTCACTATATTAATCGCTTAACAAACTTGTCCAGGAAATCTTAGACATGTCGTAACGCCGCTCATCGTCGCACTGACCAAATGATTCAAATCGCCATATGTTGGTGTTGTCAATTTCAACGTTCTGTAATTTATAAATTAGGATAAAATGATCATTTTTCCAATTCATGTCGAACGTGCAAATGCATGAAATACGTGAGAATTAATAATATTTTAAGTTGAAATATATGAAAGAGGACAGCATAAATGAAGCTATTCTGAATAAAATTCTTCATCTTTGTCTTCCAGCGCTATAATAAGCAGTCTGCATATGTATGTACGAGTTATACCTAAGTTACTATCAAATTACTGCACTATTTAATAGAATGATACCTGAAACAGATATCGTATAATGCTTCATTATCGATACAAAATGTTTCGTCAGTATTTTCAACCAACTGATGTACCGATAATGTAGCATTGTATGGTTCTACCACAGTATCCGATACCTAAAATTGTTACAAAAAAGGGAATTTAAAAAAAAAAAACATTAAAATATTATTTTGACTTTTCTTTACTTCCTATATAGTCATTCAAATAATCAGATTTCCTTCCTTTTAAATTTTATCGAATTGACAATATTTTTCATTTCATACAGTGTTAACGCATCTTGATGATTTAAAATAACCAGGACTCATTATATTACATTATTAACACTAAAATCCACTTCAATTTTTTTATTGAATTACTCGTCACATTAACCGTAGAATCATTCGCTTTCAATAAATTCAACATATAAATAAAATTATTGAAATAAGAGGCACAATTAGCAATCCATCCAATCTCTCACATTTGTTGCTATAATTTTTGTTTTCTATGCTATCATAAAATTAAGCTCAAAATCTACGATTTTGAAATACATTTTAATAACTTCACTATGTTTCTCTTTCAAATTGAATACCTTCGGTGATGGAACCACAGAAAAGGTGGTCATAATGCGATCTGGATATTCTTCACGAATTTTTGATATCAGCAATGTACCCATACCGGAACCGGTACCACCTCCCAGTGAATGAGTAAATTGAAAACCCTGAATGAAACGATGTAATAGCAGTACAAATATTTATAAAGTATGCACAACATACTGTATTTGAATATTTTCCCCAGTTCATGTAAATTTGCCGGAAGAATTAATTACTAAAATTAATAATTGTTGTTTTGATTTGCTGAAATATTATATTTTTTGATTTTTTTTCTCAACTTTTTTTTAAATATAATTTTTTAGCAAGATTTCATCGTTTTTTTTTTTTGCTTGAAGAGAAAGAAAATAAGGATATTTAAATTTTTGAGAGGGAAGAATGCCTGAAGGCAATCGCATGCTTCAGCTTCTTTACGAATCACATCCAATACACTGTCAACCAATTCCGCTCCTTCCGTATAATGACCCTTAGCCCAGTTATTACCAGCTCCGCTTTGACCTAGAATATATTTCTAAATTGTCAGCAATAAATAAATGATGAGCAATGATTTTGTAGTGTGAAGAGAAATTTTAAAAATAAAAAACGAAGAAATCATCAAATTACCAGCTCAAAGTTTTTGAAAATGAATTATTTTAAAATTTTAATACATGGCATACATCATTTTAAAATGTCTGCCAAAAAAATTTGATATTTTTCGTCGTGAATTTTTACTAGTGAGTAAAATCTTTACCGAAAACATAATTGTCAGGTCGAAAGAGTTGTCCAAAAGAGCCAGCTCGTACACTATCCATTGTTCCCGGTTCCAAATCTACCAAAATTGCTCTGAAATTTGTTTCAATGACAAACAAAAAAAAAGTGTAACAAAATTTTATTATCTAGAAAATTCAGAAAAACTTAAATCTTCTTTTAATTACATGATTGTTTTAACATACTTCATCCACTTCTAGTCATCGCTAAAAAAATCCAAAATGGTAAAATTAACATGCAAAATTTATTCTTCTTTACTAAATGATTAAATTTAGTCTACCTTGGTACATATCGTTTTTTTTGTACCTCACTATAATAAACATTGATACGTTCCAGTTGTAAATCACTGTCACCATAATACTGTCCAAGTGGATCAATTCCATGCTCATCCGAGATAACTTCCCAAAACTATAATTTGTATGAAATTTTACAACTTTTATTCACCTATTATTCTTTTGTACAAATAAACTTTCTGATGAAAGAATGAAAAATGGAACCTTCGAACCAATTTGATTGCCACATTGGCCAGCTTGAATATGAACAATTTCACGCATTTCCTGTAACTTTTGTTTGTAATATAATGTAAATAATTGGAAAATGCCTGTAATTTTGAAGATTTGAAAAATAGGACTAAAATTGGTAAAAAAAAAGAGAGGACTAAAAAGTGAGAAATGAATAGTGGCACATTGGGAGATGATTCGAAATAGGAAAAGGTCTATTTTGCATTAGAGGCTGGAACATTTTATTATACAACGAAAAGAGAAAAAATAAAGAGCCTAGGCCTATGTACACTCAGCTTATACATCGATGGTTCATTTTATGTCAATGCCAACAACTGATAGCTGAAGCATTGGGCATTTCATCTACATCTTCAATATTTGTCTCTTTTGCTGTTTCAAAAAAAAGGAAGAGAAAGAGACAGAGAAATATTTCAACTGTAAGATGGAAAAACAATTGGCTAGACAATATTGGTTAATGAAGTGGCATAGATAGAAGGAAAAGGAAAAAAAAATTGACTGCTAAAAGCAATGAAGCCCAGTTTGGAGTGTTCAGTTTAGGCCAGAATTTATATAGTAAATGTGCAATGTTGCAGAAAGCTATCCAATTTAGAATAAATTAAATTATGCTTTCCTTTTTATTTTTGTTCCTCAATCATTTTGATGCATAATAATGATAAACACACATGGAATTAATTACTTCAAATATATAATTTATGGATTATTAAATTAAACTGATATTTTCCATTTCCATTAATATCGCATGATCTTTGTTCAATAAAGAAGACTAATATTTGTTAGCCACTATTAATTACAGAGGTTTCAATGTAGCATTTGCAATTATAGCTAATTATTTTCATATTTTTATTGAATAAAAAGCACCAATATTATAATTAAATATGCAAACTTGAATTAAATTTAAGAAACGAGCAATGAAAAAATAATATATGAGGAGGAGGAATGAAATAATTCGAACCTATAATTTATAAATATCTTCAAGGACAACTCTATGAATAATATGAGAAAAAGAGTACAATGCAAACAATAACAACAAAAAAAAAACTTTACTTGGAAATATGATTGCAATAATTTGTCGCGGGAAAAATTTTGCCAGCAACTTTTAACTTATTCAATAACTTAAAAACTAATTCAGAAAATTAATTCATAATGCTTGCTAAAATTTGCTTATCAATTTAGCAAACAAGTATTTTCAAACGATCAAAGGAGGAATCAAATGATTCCAAAACATTGAAAGGAAAATAAAATATTTCAAATGTATAGTAAAGAAATAAAAAATGTTGTCGGGAAATTTATGAAAGAGAATAAAAAAGACTGTTGAGTGATGAAATGGATAGAGAAGATTTAAATTGCAGTCTTACCAAATATAAAAAGTGGAAAATGATGCAAATGGACATTCTTTCATGTTACTTTTTTTGTAATGAATAAATACAATAATCGAAAATTATAAATATCATAATAAATGCTATAATTGGAATAAATTTCAGGAATGATAAGTGGTATTCATTTTGAATAATTCGTTCAATTCTGGATAATTTTACTGAATGATTCATTTCGATTCTGCAGTTAAACTTTTAGGAAATTGATTATTTGTTTTACCTCTTTTATTTGTTATGATAATTAGTCGTTATTGAGTTATAAGTTTTTCCATTTTACGATAGTCATACTGCTGATTAATGTTGCAAACTATTGAAATTGGTGGAGAATAAAAAATTCTAAAAATATTGTACTTTTAAGGAGTAGTAAATTTTGCATATTCATCGAGAAAAGTAAATGGAAAGAAAGATGAAAAATGTAACGTTGAATTTATTATTCAATATCAGGTTCATTTTCTTCATCAAATTCTACTTCATCATCTGCTGTTGCGTCCTGAAAAACAACGAAGAGAAAAAAACTTATAAAGTTTAAAAATTTTCTTCGATAAATAAAATATCATTAATAATCACTAATCAAATAATTATCGACAGTTTTTTTTGGTAAACATTTCTTAATAAACTTTCTTAAAATATGCAAATTTTAAGCACTATTTTATAAAAATAAAGTAAAATGACGCAGTATCAGGAAAAACACAAGCCATCATAATTATATTTAACTGCCTATTTTAATTATATCAAAAGAAAAAAAATATTGAAAAAGGAGAGATGAAAAAGTGACTTGGTATTGTTGATATTCGGAAATCAAATCATTCATGTTACTTTCTGATTCCGTAAATTCCATTTCATCCATTCCTTCACCGGTATACCAATGCAGAAATGCTTTTCGTCGAAACATTGCTTAAAATTTTCAAAATTTTAATATTTGTGAATTTTATTTGGAAAGCTAAATACTGTTTATTTTCATTAAGATTCAATTATTGAGAGCATAAACGTGTCCAATTTTTTTTTAGTTAGAATGTTTTAATTTTACTATAAAAAATATTAACGTTTTTTTTCACACACACACACGCACATTATTTCTTATGCATTCATTCTTTTACTTTATTTTTTCAAATTTACTTTTTTTAATATACAACTTTTTTATGTTTATTACTTCTAGTATCAAGTCAAAATTTGATCGCATTTCTCCAGGATTATTTATTATTTAAGTGTCGTTATTTAATAAATAACATCGTCACTTGCTGAGTACTTAGCATCATCACTTATGATATGCATAACGTCATTTATTACTTATTGAATACTATTATTTATTACTTACTATATATAATGATTTTCTGTATAGAGAATTAAGAAGAAGCCTACCCGTGAACTGCTCAGAAACACGTTTGAATAATTCCTGGATAGCGGTCGAATTACCAATGAATGTCGCAGCCATTCTAATACCTCGCGGTGGAATGTCGCAAACAGCTGTCTTCACATTATTCGGTATCCATTCAACAAAATATGATGAATTTTTATTTTGTACATTTAACATTTGTTCATCTACTTCCTGCAAATTATGCTACACTTGCGTGAGATTCACTTTTGATCATTATTGTTCACTCTCTACCCAATTTTTTTTCCACTCATTTGATTTAAAATAAAAAAAAGATATGAAAATAACATTCCATCGTATCAAAATATACATTGCGTATTGAAATGTAAAATAAAATTTCTAATCATTCAAAACCATGAAGTTTTTCGAACAATGCTCTGTAAAATTATCAATAATAATATAAAATTTACTTCAAAAAAAATTTTTCAATTTAATAAAAAAAAGGGTTTTTTTGAATAACGTTTAATTTAGTATATCAGTTGAAAAGGCGAAAAATGCGGTGACAATTTAACTTTTCTTTGTTTTTTTTGATTAATTAATTTCAATAATTTCCCATAAATTTTCCATAATTAATAGATTATAATTAAATAAATATGTATGGCAAAACCTTCATTGACATTCTACCACGAAAGATAGCCGCTACTGTCAAATATCGTCCATGTCGTGGATCACATGCAGCCATCATATTTTTTGCATCAAACATTTGTTGCGTTAATTCGGACACTGTTAATGAACGATACTGTTGACTGCCACGTGATGTTAAGGGTGCAAAACCGGGCATAAAAAAATGTAAACGTGGAAATGGTACCATATTCACAGCTAATTTTCGTAGATCAGCATTTAACTGAAATAATTATAATTCATTAACAAATATATTTTAAAAAATAGAATTATCCCAAGTTTAATTTATTATTGTTTAATGATATAGTATGATTTTTCTAAAACTATAAGATTGTTAGTAGAAACTTGGCCAGGAAATCGAAGACATGTTGTGATGCCAGACATTGTCATTGAAACCAAATGATTCAGATCACCGTATGTTGGCGTTGTTAATTTTAACGTTCTAAAATGCTATTTTTTAACAAATTACATTTCTTTTTTTTTGAATGTAAAATATTAGGAGATTTTGAAAAATAAGCAAATTATTAACACTTTGTTAAATTAAATTTTTGAATTATAATATAAGTAGAGAATCGAAGTTCAAGAAGAAAATGGAATATCGAAATTTATGAAATGAATAAGTTGCGGAAGAATTATTTTTATAAATTTAAAAATTTTTTCAAAAATGTATTTTTACCTGAAACAGATATCGTATAATGCTTCGTTATCAATACAAAATGTTTCGTCGGTATTTTCAACCAATTGATGCACCGATAACGTAGCATTGTATGGTTCGACTACTGTATCTGACACCTCAAATTGTCCGTATTACTTTGAAATGCTTTAAAATATTTAAAAGTATTTGAAGCAAATATGATTTAGGACCAATATTTAGGGTAAAGAGATCGGCTATTAAATAGGGCAATGTTAGAATTTCGTCGTTTTTATTTACAAATTTACTAATTAAAATTATCAATGACGAAAATTATTAATTCACTGATTAAATTGTTATTGATAATTAAAGATAAAATTATGATAAACCTTTGGCGACGGAACAACAGAAAATGTATTCATAATCCGATCAGGATACTCCTCTCTAATTTTTGAAATCAATAAGGTTCCCATTCCGGAACCGGTTCCACCGCCAAGGGAATGTGTCATTTGGAAACCCTAAAAGAACCCAATAAATATTTCAATTTGCAGAATATGTCCATATTTACGAGGATTTGTTTAGATTTGTATTGTTAATGTTACATTAGACAATTATTCACTTGGCCTTCCTTATAAATGTGCCAAAGAAAATAAATTGCATGAAAATCATTTACTTGTAAGCAATCGCATGATTCAGCTTCTTTACGTACAACATCAAGAACATTGTCTACAAGTTCAGCACCCTCAGTGTAATGACCTTTAGCCCAGCAATTGCCTGCTCCACTTTGACCTAAAACTATTTGTTATTATTAGTAGATTTAGTCAATATTTATTATCATTTTAATAATGCCATCACATATTCTAAGAAAAAAATGGAACGTTTGCCGGTTCATAATTTTTAAATTTTATTTCTGATTTATAAAATAGCAGTATTAAAACAGACAATGTTTCTTTTATTAAATCAGCTAGTTATAGAATTATAGAATGAAATAAGACCAAAGACGAAATTATCAGGTCTGAAAAGTTGCCCAAATGGT